AAGGAGCAGCTAGTGAGCTTGAACCACTGACCTTGCAGTTCAAATGACTTTGCAGTCTGACGCATTAGTCCCCAGCGCCACACTAGGACTGCAATTGTGGTGTGGTCATAGACACTCAATAAATATTTGTGGGATGAATAAATGCTGCCATTTATTGAGCAATAGAATACTGTGTGCTTTTCAGTGCAATGTTCTTTACAAACAATATTTTATTCAGTCTTGATGACAGCCCTGAAAAATAGCCATTGCACCCCCTTTTACAGATGAAGAGACAGAAGTGAAGGCTGATGAGCAACCGTGGTGACAAGAGCACAGGCGAACAAGTGGCAGCTCCTAATGCCAAAGAATGTGCATTTTCAGTGTGGGAAGTGGAGTCTCAAAGAGGTGTTGAGAATGAACGTTAGGTGCTCTACGGAACTGGCACCTCATCAGAATTAGTACTGGGCCAGTGATAACCTGTCCAAGCTCAACCTGCAGAGGCTCTACCGACTCAGGCTCAGCAGGATTCCAGGCCCTTGGCCACCTCCTCTTGTATGGTACTTTGTCCACCTCCCCCAGGATAGTAAGCAAAAAAGGAAAAGTTGAGGCTGCTGGCTTTATGTTGCCACACTATAATAGTGTGGGAAGCTGAAGAGGCTGAGGCCCCAGGTCCTGTATGAGAAATAAGGAACATGGAAAGGGGCAGGGTGGCTGGTGGGGCCCACAGCTGAGCTCTCAGGGGTTCTTGCCCCATTTTTTAGCCTTAAGCAGAATCTCTGTCACTCTGGGCCTCTGTTGCCTCATTTGGGAAATGAGAAGAGGTGGCTTAGATCAGATCTCAGTTCCCAAATAAGGCTGTGCCTAAGAATTACCTGGGTAGGGCCTAGACAGTATAATAACAGCAGTATAACTGGTTTATTGACCACAGATTCTGTAGTACCTTTACAGTATTAGCTAATATATTCTTCATAGTCTCACAATACCCTTCACATTTGTTCTGACACTTCATAAAGGTGTGGGTACTACAGTAAAACTACAAAAGCCAGAACCTGTACAGGGTGGAAACCAATTAGACAGAAGGCTCATGTATGTTTTACCAAAGCAATCAGTAGAAAAGTAGCAAGGCCATACACACCTTGTCAAAGGTAGCACACTTGCTAGCTCCAGAAAAACAGGGCAGTCCTGTCTCTCACAGGTTTCACTGTATTATTATCTCCATTTTAATGATGAGAAGACTGAAGCACAAAGAGATGAAAGTAGCTGCATTGTGTTACTGTTGCAACCTTTGTATAACAGAATGAAACATTGCCTGGTCCTGTGTCACCTCCATAAACATTAGTATGTTTGAGCCCATTGTTATTGCTAATTTGTCCTTTCAAACAGATGGACTCATCTGCCAGAGCTATATTGAACTATATTCTGCTGTGACCTATAGGGTTTTTCTGGCTGAGTTTCAGATATGGATTGGCAGGCCTTTCTTCATTGTCTCATAGTCAGAAAGCGACACTGAAACCTATCAATCATAAGTGACCCTGGTGGTATTTGAAATTCTAGTGATGTCTAGGGCTGCTATAACAGAAATACCACAAGTGGATGGCTTTAGCAAACAAATGTAGTCTCTCACAGTTTAGGAGGGTAGAAGTTTAAATTCAGAGGGCTGGCTCTGGGAAAAGGCCCTTGTTGCCTTTTCAGCATCTGTAAGCCCAGCATTCCTTGGAGTTCTCATGTCTTGGCATCAATCTGTTCTTGGATTGAAGAGCTTCTCAGTGTAAGTCCAAAGGGCATTCTCTACTCCTGGCACTTCTTTCTCGGTGATAGTAGGTCCCTCTGAGCCCTGCTGGTTTTAATCTCTCTTATCCACAAGGTCAGCGATTCCAGATCACCAGCTACTCCTTGGAAAGTCTTTTACAGGCTCACGATGGATCAGAAGTGACTTGATGGCACTTAACAAAAACATATCTCCGAATATATGCATGTGAAAGTTGGAGAATAAATAAGGAAGAATGTAAAGAATTGATGCATTTGAGTTATGGTGTTAGAGAAGAATATTAAAAGTATTATGGACTGTCAGAAGAACAAACAAATCTGTATTAGAAGAAGTACAGCCAGAATGCTCCATAGAAGCCAGGATGGCCAGACTTTGTCTCTCATACTCCGGACATATTATCAGGAGGGACTAGTCCCTGGAGAAGAACATCATGCTTAGTAAAGTAGAGAATCAAAAAAGAGGAAGACCCCCAATGAGATGTATTGACACAGTAGCAGCGTCAATGGGCTCAAGTGTAGCAATGATTGTGAGTTTGGTGCAGGACTGGGCAGTGTTTCGTTCTGTTGTGCATAAGGTCACTATGAGTAGGTACGAACTCTATTGCACCTAACACTAATATAGCTCAGAAGAGATTGACTCTGGTATGGTGCTGTAGGATAAGCACTGGACTGCAAGGTTGGTTTGAACCACAAGGTTTGTGGTTCAAACTCACCAGCTGCTCCTAGGAAATGCTATACAGGGTCTCTATGAGTTGGAACTCACTCAAGAACACTCAACAACAACAGATTTCAGAAGAGATTGATGTAAGACACAGCCTAATCCTGTAGATTGCAACTGGACACTATCCTATGTGTTGTAAATCTCACAACTGGACCGATAAATAACATCAAGATAAATGGAATAAAGATTGAAGTTGTCAATGACTTCATTTTGCTTGGCAGTTCAAAACTACCAGCCATTCCGTGGGAGAAAGATGAAGGCTTTCTGCTCCTGTAGAGATTTACAGCCTCGGAAACCCTGTGCAGGGTCACTAAGAGTCGGAACCAACTCCACAGTACTTAACAACAACAACTGTAATACTCAGGGAAGCAGTAGTCAAGAAATCAAATAACATATTGCATTAGACAAATCTGCACAAGACCTTTTTAAAGTGTTCAAGAGCAAAGATGTCAGTTTGAGAACTAAGGTACGCCTGACTCAAACCATGGTATTTTCAATAACCTCATATGCATGCAGAAGTTAGACAATGAATAAGGAAGACCGCAGAAGAATTGATGCATTTGAGTTATGGTGTTGAAAAAGAATATTAAAAGTACCATGGATTAAAAAAAAAAAAAAGTACCATGGATTGCCAAAAGAACAAACAGATCTGTGTTAGAAGAAGTACAGCCAGAATGCTCTTTTAGAAGCCAGGATGGCAAGACTTTGTCTCTCATGCTTTGGAAATATTATTAGTAGGGACCAATCCCAGAAGAACATCATGCTTGGTAAAGTGGAGGGTCATCAAAAAAGAGGAAACCCCAACGAGATGGATTGGCACAGTGGCAGCATCAATGGGCTCAAGTGTAGCAACCAACAATTGTGAGATTGCTGCTGGACCGCGCAGCATTTCGTTCTGTTGTGCATAAGGTCACTATGAGTCAATACCTAACAACGACAACAGGATAGTTACATGAGATCAGGGCTGATCACCTCAGATCACATTATGGAGAGAAGATTACATTCTATTAGATCTCATCCTGGGGGCTTACTATGTCTCAAGTGAGAATTCAGGCTCAAGTTGACACAAAACTATCACAAGTGGTATAGCTTCCAGCATCTCACAGAAACTGACAGGCAGGTGCAAAGCACCTCCACTCTCAAGGATCCATTCCGGAGAGTTCACAGTTCAGGGTTTGACAATTTTAATGTCTTTTATGGTCTTAAAAAAGGAGATCTGGTAGCATAGTGGTAAGGACTTGGGATGCTAATCGCAAGGCCAGCAGTTAGAACCTACCAGCAGCTTCTCAGGAGAAAGTTGAGGCTTTCTGCTCCCATTAAAGATGTACGGTCTCGGAAACCCTTTACAGGGTCGCCATGAGTCAGAACTGACTCCACGGCACATAACCACCACTACTACCACCACCACCATGGTCTTAAAAATCAGAGCTTAATATCTATTTCCATAGTTTAATGTGTTATGACAGAGACTTTGAATACAGTTTGAGCTGAGTTGGAATCTGGGCAGGTGGGGAGATTGTTCCCGTTCCCAGCAGCCTGCTGGAGATGCAGTAGAGGCCACAGCAGCCAGTTAAAGGGCCGAGGGGTGGGGGGTGGGGTGGGGGTGGTGGAGCTGATGGATGAAGTTTTCAAATGCCGTGGGTCTTTCTGAGTGACTTCTTTCTAGTCACCCATAGGTGAATTCTTCATTTGTAATAAATACCTGAAGTTTATACATAGGTGTAAGGAGGGACCAGTCACTGGAGAAGGATATCATGTTTGGTAAAGTGGAGAGTCAGAGAAAAAGAGGAAAACCCCCAATGAGATGGATTGGCCAAGTAGCAGCATCGATGGACTCAAGCATGGCAACAGTAGTGAGGTTGGCCCATGATCGGGCAGTGTTTTGTTCTGCTTTGCATAAGGTCACTATGGGTCGGTACCAACTCAATGGCACCTAACAACAACAACATACATAAGTGTGGCTGTATATTTTATTTTCAGCCTCTTATATGTTTTCATTTTTTACAGTAAAGTAAGAAATAAAATAAATGTGATGTTTCTTATTAGCCAATTTAGATGATATAGGAAAGTACAAAGAAAAAAGTAAAAGTTGTTGCTACCCAGTTTATCAGAGATTGCCTTTTATTATATTGGATGTATTGCCTTTCATAGTTCCATGAATATTTTTATGTGTGTGTGTGTGTGTGTGTGTATATTTCTCTTCTTTCCAAAAATTGGGTTTTATTTGGCAGTTGTGAGGTTCTAGTAAAGATCTTTCTATTCAGTAAACCCATCACTTTTAATGTCCTCATAGTATTCTGTCTCTAATATACTACCTAGAATCTAGCTAATCCCTAATTTTGAGTACCTGGGTTGCCACATTTTTATTCATTTTAACTGTGAAGAATGCAGTAGAGAATGTTCTTTGAAGCTGTCTTTGGGTGCCTCCATTTTTCTCTCCTTGGGGTAAATTTCAAGAAGTGGAATTGTTGCCTGATAGGAGCAGGGAAATGTTTGCCTTTTATGATATGAAGTATTTGGCTGGACATTTCAGGAAAGAAAGATGCCACCCAAGCGCATAGCTAAGAGAAGATCACCCCCAGAAGATGCCGCCCCCAAAAGCAAGAAAGTGAAGGGTAAGTTGGTTTTGACTATGACTGGGGCAGCTATGTGGGTACAAGTGGTTTCCTGGAACTCCAGTATATGGGACTGGGCTCCTTTATCTCTGATAATTGAAGCCTAGGGGTCTGGATGTCCAGAGACCTCACTCAGCTGAAGTATCTTATATAGCTCATAGACTTCCACCCTTTGGGAATCAAGCATCTAGGTAGTTAGTGTTGGAAAAACTAGATCCTTGGGCTCAGGGCCCAGGCAGTAATGCAAAATGGTTAGGACCAACCCGGCTCTTCCTGCCGCTTTTAGGCTGTGTGACTTTGGGCTAGTCAGTTAACTTTACTGAGCTTGGATTACCTCATTCATAAAATGGGAGAAGAGCACCAACTTCACTGGGGTGTTGTGAGGAGTAAATGAAATAATGCCTTGACAACATTTGGGAAATGGCTGGTTTCCCTACCCCCTGGGACCCAAAAGGTGGTAGGGAGGAAAGAATCCATCCCTAGCCCAGGGGAGGAGGGTTATGTGGGCCCGCTGCATGCTCAGACAGTGTCTGTCTTTTGCAGACCCTCGTAACCAGGCAGTGAGGGCCACCGCCTCCCACCGTGTTCCCGGCGCCCACTCCTGCCCAGGTGCCTGTGGGCCGAGCCCTCCTGACCAGAAAACCCGACCAGGTGGCTCCCTGCCCAGCGTAGTCTCTGCACAGCCGTGGCCAGACCCCCAGGGTGGGGCAGAGGGCTGGACGCCAATGGCTGTCCGGGGTTTTGGGCGGCTGGCTTCCATTGGCCAACAGCAGGTCCTGTGCCATCCTGCTTGTTCCGAACCTCTTCGCAAACGCATATTCCTCTTAATTACGCCTACCCTCTTCTCTCCAGCTTTCTGTCAGTTCAATGATTTAAACCCAGGAGTTTAAATCACAACCTGGGGGTGGGGGTAGGGTGGGAGGGCTAGGATAGAGGCTGAGGACTGTGCTCTGACCCATGCAATGTCCCTTGACTTTGGTGCAAGCACTACTACTTTTTATAGCTGAGTGATCCTGGGAAGAGCACAGCACTAAACAATAACGAACAACAAAGCCTCCTAAGGAGCTCTAGTAGCATAGTGGTTTGAGTCGACCTGCTAACCTCAAGGTCAGCAGTTTGCAATTACCAGCCATTCCGCCAGAGAAAGATGAGGCTTTCTGCACCTGTAAAGATTTATAGCCTCAGAAACCCTGTACAGAGTCCCTATGTGTTGGAACTGACTCTATGACACACCAGTACCACCGAAGTCACTTAACATTAGTGTAAGCTGTCAGTAAAGGGTTGACATTATATCTGAGCCCTGACTTGATGGCACCATGGCTCCTGACCAAAAACTTGAAAAAGTTAATCAGGTTTGGTCTGTGTTCTTGTGCCATTTTCCCTTCCCTCCAAGATTCAGTTCACAATTTTGTGTCTCCTCCGTATCATATTAAATAATGTGCTTAGTATTCATCTTCATAAAAGCCCTATGAGATAGGTACATTTTGCTCCTGGTGGTAGTGGTTATGTGCCGTGGAGTTGGTTTTGATTCATAGCAACCCTGTACAGGGTTTCCGAGGCTGTAAATCTTTATGGGAGCAGAAAGCCTCATCTTTCTCCTGCGGAACAGCTAGTAGTTTCGAACTGCTGATCTGGAGGTTTGCAGCCCAACTTGTAACCACTACACTACCAGAGTACTATGAAACAGGATCAGGGGCTTGAAACCCGGTCTCTATGACCCCAAAGCCCATGCAGTGATTTCTTTCCATCTGTCATCCCCTACACTCAGGTGTCTTTTTTTTTAACTCCTCAGTCTCTCATAGATCCCACAGCACAGAACCAGGCATGGTGCTGACACTGGGCCAGGGGGACGTGGGCCAGCTGGGGCTGGGTGAGAATGTGATGGAGAGGAAGAAGCCAGCCCTGGTACCCATTCCTGAGGATATTGTTCAGGCTGAGGCTGGGGGTATGCACACCGTGTGTCTAAGCAAGACTGGTCAGGTAGGTTGGGGTGGTGGGACAGTGGTGGACAGGGCTTGGGGTGGGCATGCTTGGGGCAGGAGCTTTGAGCCTCACACATTTCTCTTGAGATGGAGCTAGCTAGCCAAGCAGGTAATGACCTAAACAAGAAGGGACTGAGAGCTAGACCTTGTACTGATGTGTGCATTCTGGGCACAGGTCTACTCCTTCGGCTGCAATGATGAAGGTGCCCTGGGAAGGGACACATCATTGGAGGGCTCGGAGATGGTCCCTGGGAAAGTGGACCTGCAAGAGAAGGTAGTACAGGTATCAGCAGGAGACAGCCACACAGCAGCCCTCACTGAAGATGGCCGGGTCTTCCTCTGGGGCTCCTTCCGGGTAAGCCTGGTTTGGAAAATGGCATATGGGGCCTGTGGGCAGAATTCACTAGTGGGATGTAAAAGATGGTCTACCTCCATTCCCCCATGGTGCTGCTGGTGAGAAAATCAAGGCACATTTCTACCCACCTTGTCCACCCAATCTGACTGCTTTCTTGGCTCTGATGTTAGGAAGTGGGCATGTTAGATCCAGGGAGGCTGTTCCCTTCACCCATCTCTCTGCCTTTAGTCTGCCCCTCTCCTTTTCCAGCCCTTTGTCCCATCTCTCAAGAGGTATTGTCATATCTCAGAGTTTCTAAGGCAGAGTAGGTAATTTAAAAAACAGATTCCATATTAAAAATGCTTTGGCATTTAATTTATTTCAAAATATCAAAAATAAAGGTATCTAATGAGGTTCTGTTGTGGTGTGTTGTAGGATAAGCACTGGTCTGCTAATTAACTGCAAGATCAGCAGTTCCAACCCACCAACGACTCCTTAGAAACCGTATACAAGGTCACTATGAGTCAGAACTGACTCGATGGCAGTTAACAACAACAACAATGTGATTTTTCTATTGTGTAACAAATATCTATAGAGAATTTCAGACACATAAAAATGATCAGAATAATATATTGAACCCCCATCTACTTATCCACACAGATGGCAACAGTTATCTACTCATACCCAGACTTGTTTCATCTCTACTCACTTCTATTCCCCAACACCTTTGTTATTTTAATACAGCTCCAGACCATAAGTGCAGTTGATCCTTGAACAACATGGGGGTAGGTGGGCAGTGGGGGCTGCGCTAGGGACACTGATCTCCCTGGCAGCCAAAACTCCGCATATAACTTTAAACACTGCAAAAATTTAGCCACTGTTGATAGTAGGAAGGTTTCCCTTAACATAAACAATTGATTGATACATACCTTGTATGTGATATGTATGGGGAGGGCTGTGGCTTTGTAGGATAAGCACTGGACTGTGAATCACAAGATAAGTGGTTCAAACCCACCAGTCATTCCATAAGAGAAAGATATATGTTTCTTTTTTCTTTTTACAATAGTCCATAACAGTAGGTTACTTTATCAGATGACCCACAAATGCAAACCTCAGGCTGTGGTACATATCAAGCAATTCAACTTTTTCTTGTAATTCATGGCTTTTCTCTGCTGCTTGGTAGCATATTCAGCAATCACTAGTGGTACTTTGTAGGATCCCATGGTGTTATGCAAGGTTTTGCACTAAACACAATGAAAAATACTAAAGAACCTTGAGAGATTACTTTTTACTATCATTTGCAACTTACTGGAGAGATGAACTATTCACACAGAGATAATTAGCATCACATAGCATTCAAAAACCAAATTTGCATTTAAGTGGACTCACACAAAGTGAACCTGTGTTCAAAGGTTAACTGTGTATCGCATGTGGCTCCTGCTCACATCTCCATCCCTGTTCCACCATTGCCCTTCATGAGACACCTCTGTGGCTGCCTATATTCCTGAATTGGGCAGTCTAGGGGCAGGCAGTCAGGGCTGGCTGATAAATTCTTTGCCCCGTCTTCCAGGACAATAATGGAGTGATTGGGCTTTTGGAGCCCATGAAGAAGAGCATGGTACCTGTGCAAGTAGAGCTGGATGTGCCTATGGTGAAGGTAGCCTCAGGTGAGTCGGTACTTGCCCTGGACAGGAGCTGGGGAATTGGTCTGAGAATGGCCCAGTCATGAGCCTGTTAAACCTTGTACCCCTCACCTTCCTCTCATCCTCAGGGAATGACCACTTGGCGATGCTGACGGCTGATGGTGACCTCTACACCTTAGGATGTGGCGAGCAGGGCCAGTTAGGCCGTGTGCCTGAATTATTCTCTAACCGTGGTGGCCGGCAGGGTCTTGGTAGGCAGCTTCTGACAGGGTACCCCTAAGTCAGAGCCCAAGGCAGGACAGGAGAGATTCCCTCTGATGTCAGACAGACCTAGGGTCGTGGTTGAGAGCTCAGATTTTCAAACTAGTCCACCCTGGGCTTGAATACAATTCTGTTGCCTACTAACTTTGGAACTCTGGATACAGTCTCCTCATCTCCAAAATGTGGATAATATTAGTACCTACCTCATGTTGTTGTGAAATGTAAAAAGTTAGTATGAACGACGAGTGCCTGGTGCATGCTAAGCTGCATGTCAATGCTAGCTCGCTGGCTGTGGAAGGACGATGTTGAGCACTAAGGATAGCCATTCCAACCCACCATTGGATCTGTAGGAGAAAGATTTGACACTGCACTCCCATAACAATTTTAGCCTAGAATACCCTATGGGGCATTTTTTATCACTGTGAGCTGAAATGGACTATGGACTCATTGTCACCTAACAACAGCAATGGCTATGGATGTACTAGCAAGACACTTGTACTCTGTTGGCCTCAGTTTCCTCTTCTGTGAACAGGGATGAGTCTATGATTGATTCCCCTCCTTTGTTGTTATTAAGTGCCCTTGAGTCGGGTCCCACCCATAATGACCCTATATAGAGTTTCCAAGGAGCGGCTGATGAGCTTGAACCACCAATCTTGTAGTCCAGCGCGTTAGCCCACAATGCCACACCAGGACTCTGATTTCCCTCCTAGGACTTTTGTAATTGAGAGGAAAAAGGAACACAAAGGAAAAAGCACTGTGTGGGCCAGTCTGCCACTAACCCTAGCATGCTTTCTGACTATAGAACGACTCCTTGTCCCCAAGTGTGTGATGTTGAAATCCAGGGGAATGCGAGGCTATGTGAAGTTTCAGGATGTCTTCTGTGGTGCCTACTTCACCTTTGCTGTCTCCCATGAGGGCCATGTATATGGCTTTGGTCTCTCCAACTACCATCAGCTTGGTGAGTGGGGAGTTGGCTTCAGGCATCACCCAGAGCAACCTGGGTTCCACTCTAGCTCCTCACCTCCCTCATTGTGTACCTTTGGTGGGATTATATCGCCCCTCTTTTTGTCATCTGTAATGTAAGACTATTCACATCTGGTGGAAGGGTGGCCTCATTGGGGAGGGTTTGAGAAGGGTTGATCCTTGAATACCTTTACCCTGATGGTTCTTTCTTGGCCTTCTTCCGACTCTACCCCCCAGGAACCTCAGGCACAGAATCTTGCTTCGTACCTCAGAACCTGACATCTTTCAAGAACTCCACCAAGTCTTGGGTGGGCTTCTCTGGTGGTCAGCATCATACAGTCTGCATGGATTCAGAAGGTGGGACCTCCAGGTCTTTCCTAGGTTGAGGGTGGAGTGTTCTCTGGACCTGGACCTGGCTAGACACCAAGGGTTGGGCTAGATATAGGTCCCTGGGGCCACCTCCTTGCTCCCAGTGTCTGGGCTCTTCCAAGTGTGTACCCATTGGAGGCCTGTGTGTGGGCCTCCATGGAGGTTCTCCTAGACAGATCCCCCAAACTAGAAAGAGACTGAAGTTCTCTTTCTAACCACCCTGAAAGTGTAGGCCAAGCTCCCACAGACTTGAGAACTCACTTGGCCACATTGCCTAGTTTGCCTGTACCTTGCCTTGCACTAGTCTTCATCTCTCTCCTTCTTCCACAGGAAAAGCATACAGCCTGGGCCGGGCTGAATATGGGCGGCTGGGCCTCGGGGAGGGTGCTGAGGAAAAGAGCATACCCACCCTCATCCCCAGGCTGCCTGTCGTCTCCTCAGTGGCTTGTGGGGCCTCTGTGGGATATGCTGTGACCAAGGATGGTGAGTGGACTGCCCACAGTTGGTCTAAATCTGGGATTGGGGGTCATGATTCTTAACCAGACTCCCCAGCAGTCTCATGTCCACTATGAGATAGCACTGAGATGAGGAAAGCAGTGTTTGGGATCATGCTGTGTTCCTCCTGATTCTCAATTCTCGCTTTGAAGAACAGAAAACAAAACCGGTCACTTCAGTAAAAGTGATTTGTTCTATAAAGGAGAAAAAAGAGTAAATGGGGGCACATCTCACAGAGGCCACAGTGGTTGTGGGACTTGAACCCAGGTCTCCAGACTACTAATCCAGGCTTCTCTTTATATTGTCCACCATGGTTGCCTCTATATTTAGCAGTCTGTTTCAGGGAAATTTCCTTAGAATCTTATTAGGACAAAGAAGACTCAATGGTCAGGGTCCTGGCCAGCACAGCAGGGAGGGTGTGGACAAGTAGCCACTGGAGCCTGAGTATGTGCATGAGTGTGCCAGTGAGGGGGTTCCCTTAGTCTTGGTGGAGGGCTGCTTCCTAAGGAAGTGAGGATTCGATGGCATCTATGCACCTTGAAGGTTCATTCCATTATGAGAAACAAAGGAAAGCATCGTATCCAGAGCTATCTCAGAGGGAATGTGGGATAATGTTGGCAAGTGGTGGTGTTAAGTGCCATTGACTCAGTAGTGACCCTGTATAGGGTTTCTGAAGAGCAGCTGGTGAATTTGAACCCCCAGCCTTGCCATTCAAACCGACCTTGTGGTCCAGCGCCAAACCAAGACTCCTCTTGTTTATCTATCACATCCTTGGCCTCTTTCAGCTCTCCTGAACCCTTGGGGGCTGGGACCTTGCTGACTGACACAAGCTTAAGGCCAGAATTCACCGCCACACCTCAGACGTCTCACAGAAGAGTAGGCTAAGGTTCCTGGAGATAATTGCTCCTCATTTCTCTCTCTGCAGGTCGTGCTTTTGCCTGGGGCATGGGCACCAACTATCAACTGGGCACGGGGCAGGATGATGATGTCTGGACCCCTGTGGAGATGACAGGCAAACAGTTGGAGAATCGAGTGGTCTTATCTGTGTCCAGTGGAGGCCAGCACACAGTCTTATTAGTTAAGGACAAGGAACGGAGTTGATGAAGCCTCTGAGGACTTGGCTCCTGACCGCCTCTACCTCCCCTTGGATCAGGGAAGCAATGACAGCCTCAGATTCCAGCAGCCCTCCCCTCAACCCTGAGCATTCTGTCACTTCCTGTCATTTTTCTCATCAGCAGAACAGAATCCCTTTCTTCTTTTTATTTCTTCCTTTGGGGAATCATCCTGGGACCTACAGGATGAAGGGCCTGATGGAAGAGGGGATGGGGCTCATGCCAGAAGGAACATTGCTCAGTGAGCTATGTGGTTAGGCCTTTTTCACCACATCCCTACCTCTCATGGTCTTGGCTGGTCTTGACCTTGCCCACTAAAAAACAACCTTCCTCCCTTCGGGGTTTGGTGCCCATACTCTATAAACAGTTTGGGTTCTCTCAGGCTCCACCCCAGTCATGTGGTACTCTCCTTGTCCCTAACAGTGCACAGGCAGACACATGGTACAATCACCAGACCCAGCTGTCATGGCCCCATGCCTAGGGTCAACTGGACAAGGGGGCAGGGCTAACCAGCCGTGGGCTATATATACGCAGCCAAATATTTGGCTCTGAACAGGTGTCTGAGAACAAAAAGGATAATGATGGTTCACTAGACTGAGAACATACCAATTAATCATTCTCCCAGAAGCACAAAGCATTCTACCCCTTAGGCACTGCCTGCTTACCCAACCCATTGGACCTTCTTCGCCTGCAGCCAAAAGCCAGGAACACAGAGGGAAACTAGGCAGGGCAGGGCAAAGGGGAAAGGGGGTTGGAGGATTTTAAAAAGCAAACATATGGCAATATTGAGGATGGGGTGGAGCCAGGTAGGGGAAGAGGATTGGGAGGGGACAGGGAAGGGCTGGTCCCAAGAAAGGGAAGAAGTAGTAACTTGTACAAGTGACTGAGATCATAGAAAATAATTTTGACTTTTTTAAAATGTAAAATATTTTGGAGGTGAGTGAAATCTTTTAAAGCTTTGAATAAATGTAGAGTTTTATAAAAACAGACCCCTTGTTTTCTACATATTCCCTGCTTTTTAAAAGGAGTACCTATTGTGTGGAGCCCTCAAATGGTCTGTGGATTAAAGCACTGGACAGTCATTTGAACCACAAGAACCTCAATGGCACTTAACAACAACAACAACAACCCTATTGTGCGCTGGATGCTGGGAAGGCTAGGATAAATCCATGTCTTTGAACCTGATACCAAGACTAGGACTTCTGAGGTGGTGGTGTGTGCTGCTCAGCTGCTGATGTAACTGTGCCAAAGACTCCAAATGCACACAACTGAAGTTGATTGAGTTGTTTGATTATTTGTGTTTTAGGAATCACTGGTTTTGTTTTTTAACTGTGCTGCATAATCAAGAGAAATGGGATGGATCTTTTATTATTCCTAATTCCAAGATGAGATTCCTTTTTTAGTATTGTTCATCTCTAAAAATGCGTACTAAACGTGACGTTGTATCAACAGCTGATTCAAATTTAAAAACGATTACACACTTGTTCTTAAAAGACATCCTAGGTAATTTAATTTAGGCTGTTTTCACAAGCATTTGAGCACCCAAAGCATAGAGTTGACCTGTCCAATATGGTATCCGCTAGATACACGTGACTATAATTATGTACCATATAGCATCCATTTAGGCAACATCCAACTGCATATACGTCCATGATCCCATCAGTTACGAGTTTGGAAATCCTGATCAGAGGAATTGTGGGTATAAATTTGGTCATAGTAAATGTGCTTCTGGTACCTAACATAACACTTAAACCTTGCTTCTTGTATATAAAGTGATTTATGCTTCCTTCCCAGATTTGTAATGGTACAGTATATATATAACCTGTAAGTCTTAATGTCTATGCTATACGTCATGTATGTTACTGGTTTATGTATGTACTGTACTTGTTACTTCAATAGGAACTTTCACTACTTAAAAAGTGTATCATGTAACAGTATATGCTTCAACTTGAAGGCAGTAGCATCCAATCTTGTATCTTGGGTCTTGAGTGTTGTAGAGATATCTCTCTTTAATTTTCTTTAAAAAACACATGAAATGCATCATAACTCCCAAAAGCTGCAAAAACCAGTACTAGTAATAGCAACAGCAAGGGGCAAAAAAGTTTTTGGAAGTGAAACAATGTTATTAACATGAAGGTAGAAAATCAGTGACTATTATTGCTCACAATTAGGCTTGTTTATACATCCCAGTCACATCACATCCTATTTCACAGGACATACTGTGAATGATAAGCAATGAATGATTGTATTTAAATCCTTTAGAAATCGAAGGCTAACTCTTAGTTGCACTGTAGACATTTCAAGTGCACAGTTGTTAAGTGCCATTGAGTCGTTCCAACCCATAGCGACCCTGTAGAGGGTTTCTGAGAAGCAGCTGGTGAGCTTGAACCACCAACCTAGCAGTTCAAATGACTTTGCAGTCTGATGTATTAACACAAAGCGCCACACCAGGACTCCTGCAGCCACATGTAACTAGTGACTAGGGCATTGGGCTGTGTGAATATAGCACATTTACATCACTAGAAAGTTACTAGGGTCCATGCTGATGCAGAGGGGCTGGTTATCTACAATAGGAGGCTTATTAGTACCAGGAAGACTCTTAAAATATGAATATAATATAATTTAAATGCATTCTGTGATTTGTTTTTCTTGAACTAATGCAGGCATGAAACATTATCAATTGACCTAGGAAAAATCACTTTCATTATAGTCGCTTCTTTGTCTATTACCCACTTCTCCCACCCCTCAAATAGTCCATTTGGATTATATTTAATTCCTGGTGTTTTCCCTTCCCTTGTGACAATACCGTTGCTATTGACAATACAGAAGGTACATAAGTACTCTGATCTTAAGAGCACCATGTATTGAGCACTTAAAACAAGCATTGTACTGAATACTTTATATACATCAGTGTATCATCCCTGCAAAGTAGGAATTACTACTTGCATACACATAGAATCCCTAACAGTTGAAGTGACTTGCTTGAGGTCAAAAAGCTACTAAATTCACAAGCTAGGCTGAAATCTAAGTTGGCCTCCTGAACCTCAAACCTCAATTTCTTTTCTTTGCGTTGCATCTAAGAGTTTTATAAAACTAACTCTAGGTGCTTTTCATAGAACAGTGCCAGGCACCTAACAGATGCTCTTTACATCTATTAAGATTAATGGTTATGTGCCTTGGAGTCAGTTCTGTCTGATTCAGTGTTGCTGTATAGGGTTTCTTAGGAGCCGCTGGTGGGTTTGAACTGCTTTCCTTGTGGGTCAAAGTTCAGTGCTGATCCACAGCACCACATTGTTAAGTGCCGTTGAGTCGACTGACCAATCACGACCCTGTATAGGGTTTCCAAGGAGTAGCTGGTGAGCTTGAACCACCCACCCTGCAGTTCAAACAACTTTGCAGTCTGATGCATTAGCCCACAATGCCATGCCAGTGCTCCCAACACCACATTTGTTGTTAGGTGCCATCGAGTCAGTACTGACTCATAGCAACCCTATGCACAACAGTATGAAACACTACCCAGTCCTGGACCAACTTCACAATTGTTGCCAGGCTTGAGCCCATTTTGCCATTTTGCCACTTTGCCAATCCATCTCTTGGGGGTCTTTTTTTCTCTGACCCTCCACCTTACCACTACATTACCACCCACAAATTTGTAGTAAACCGCTTACAAATATTTACAAAGTCATAATTAAATTGAGGGGAAAGATGACTAAGGCTGAGCAATGGCTTCCCAGGGTCCCGGTGTTCTACAAAAGAATTGGTGAACGGTGGGGCTCCCAAAAGGGTGCTTTCCCATTTTAAAAATCAATGTGCTTATATTTGTAACTTAAAATACTATCATCAGCATTAGCCTAATTTATAACATGTTTGTAGTTAGCCTAACTCATGCCATGTTTGTCTTATTCCTTACCCTAGCTTCTGGAATTTTTATAGCTTTCTGTATTGTTCAAGGTTACATAGATGTGTCAACGGCAGTGGGTTTTACAATACTTAAGTTGTACTGTGGGGGCTTGTGAGTTGCTGTGATTCTGGAAGCTATGCCACAGGTATTTTAAATACCAGCAAGGTCACCCATGGTGGACAGGTTTCAGATGAAGACAGACTAGGACAAAGGAGTGATGAACTATTTCCGAATATTTAGTCACTGAAAACCTTATGAATCGCAGAAAAACACTGTCAGATAGAGTGCTGGAAAATGAGCTCCTCAGGTGAGAAGGCACTCAAAATGCAACGGGAAGAGCTGCCTCCTCAAAGTAGAGTTGGCCATGATGACATGAATGGAGTAAAGCCGGCGCGACCTTCATTTGCTGATGGGGCACAACTCAAAATGAAGAGAAACAGCTGTAAATAACCATTAATAGCAAAGTGGCAGCATTAATGGGCTCAAGCATGGCAACAATTATGTTGGCCCATGATCAGGCAGTGTCTCATTCTGTTGTACATAGGGTCGCTATGAGTCGGTACCGACTCGATGACACCTAACAACAAGAAGTCACAACATAATCATAAAATGTAAACGTCAATTATGACATTCAGATAAAACAGTAAGGGCAGCAACTTGCCAATCTTTGATGTCTTAAGACCCTCCAGACAAATGTCCAGATGGCTGCACATATATGCCCTTATATGTTGTTGTTAGGTGCTACTATATCGGTACCAACTCATAGCGACCCTAAACACTGCCCAGTCCTGCACCAACTTCACAATTGTTGCTACATTTGAGCCCATGCTGCTGCCACTGTATAAGGCAGTTCAAACCTACTTGATATAGTCTGAAAAAGCATGAGACTCCCCCAGACTGTGCATTCTAGGTTTTTGTTAACTGTTGTTGCAGTGGTTTCCACTTAAGTTGTTAGGTGCCATCGAGTCAGTACGGACTCGGCGACCCCATGCACAACAGAACCAAACACTGGTCCTGGGTCAACCTCACAGTTGCTACACTTCAGTCCATTGATGCTGCCACTTTGCTAATCCATCTCCTTGGGGGTCTTCCTCTTTTTCTCTGACCCGCCACCTTACCAAACATGATATCCTTCTCCAGTGACTGGTCCCTCCTGACAATATGTCTGAAGTGTGAGAGATGAAGTTGAATAAGGTTTCCAAGGAGCAGCTGGTGAGTTTGAATCGCCGACCTGTGGTTCAAACTGATTTTGTGGTCCAGTGCTTATCCTACAGCACCACACCAGGACTTAGCATTATAGTGTAAAAAT